ATTAACTATATATAACATATATAATATGATTATATTAATATTTCGCGTAAACAATTCGCAAACAATGTATGTTAATTTAATGTATAATTATATTAATATGATATAAATTTCACGTAAACAATTCGCAAATAATTCGCAAATAATATAATCTAATTACATTAATATACACACATAATATAAATATTATATTAATATAATTACTTGTACAATAATTAATAATTAATGCTGAATGACATGTAATATTATATCAATATAATTATATACAATATATTTTACTCACTGGTAGCCAAGATCTTCTCGCAATGCTGCTGCAGATGGTTGATCAGTTGAACGCACAACGAGTCTCTGGCAAAGAAACCCTCCACCTCCACGAGGAAATGCATGGTTTCGCTGAGGCACTCCTGAAAGCCCAGCCTGTAGTGTTCGGCCGCGGTGGACGCGATGGTCGAGTGCGAGACACTGTCCACACTGTCCTCAGGGTGAGTGTGAACTGACGTCACGGCAGGATGTTTCGATTCTGCGATTTCGAAGAAGCTTTACTCGCCCGTTTATTATAAATATACGACGAACTATTTGCATTCGTAATCGGGACGCGCGCTACAAGCTTTGGCATCCTAGATAAAGTCGCAAGTGCTTTGGCACGAACGTTGCTTTCTCAACATTAAGCATCAGGCCATTTAATGAAATTAACCCAGATATGCCTCTCATCCTTGCAGGAAATTTCGTTCTCTGCCGATTTCTGGCATTGTTGTTCGCGTAAATTTATTTATTTCTACTCCTCGATTGGAACAAATTTAATTCGAACTATTTAAACGAAAGAGGAGCGACAATGTTTTTAAAAAATATCGAAAGATATTCTGGATTAATATCAGAGTTAATAAAAAATTAGAAGGCCAAGGCTCTGCGTCGTTAATTGGCAATTTTGTATATTTTTTTTTTTTTTATTTTCATTGATCTAACTCGTACCTTGCCGAAGACCTTGCAGATGCTTCATGTGGCGAATGGCCATCTCGATGATCTCGGTCTTCTCCACTCTTCCTCGACCTTTCTTCAAGTACTCGGCCGGTATGAGCCTGCTCAAATCGGCCAGACAGTTGTTCATACGATCCCTCCTCCGTTTCTCGATAATCCTGTGAGACATCGGATCTTGCTAGAACAGAAAACGAACGGGAATAAACACGTCGCTCAAAAATTTCGATTGTTCTCGCGACATAATTAACAAGTACGCGGTTACACACGGCTGATGATAATTTCGTTATGATCGCAAGTAACGTACACGTTCAATGATGGAACGCAGAGAGTCTGCACTTGACAAAAGTTCAGTTTGCATTGCGACGAAGAGGAAACTAATGGGTATTTGTTAGATGTCACTCTGCAGTTAGATGTCTCGCAATTTTCATCTGTTATTTACTCGAATATATTTACTCGGACATTTCTGGCAAATTCCACAGTTTCTCAAGCTGTCGAGTCGATTATTGTACAACTTTTGAAAATCTTTGAGATCTGAAGTCAGATGAAACTGAACTTTTCAAGAAGTTGGACTAACTGCAAAGGGATTAGATTCTCGAACATTTCTGGCAAATTCCACAGTTTCTCAAGCTGTCGAGACAGTGTTGTACAATTTTTGAGAATCTTTGAGATCTGAAGTGAGATGAAACTGAACTTTTCAAGAGGTTGGACCAACTGCAAAGGGAATAAATTCCACAGTTTCTCAAGCTGTCGAGACGAGTATTGTACAATTTTTGAGAATCTTCGAGACCTGAAGTAAGACGAAGAGATGAAACTTTTCAAGAGGTTGGACTAACTGCATAGAGATTAGATTCTCGAAAATTTCTGACAAATTCCACAGGTTCTCAAGCTGTCGAGACAGTATTGTACAATTTTTGAGAATCTTCGAGATCTAAAGTCAGATAAAACTGAACTTTTCAAGAGGTTGGACCAACTGTGCAAAGGGGTTAAATTCCACAGTTTCTCAAGCTGTCGAGACGAGTATTGTACAATTCTTGAGAATTAAATTTAATTTCGAGATTTGAAGTGAGACGAAGAGATAAAACTGAACTTTCCAAGAGGTTGGATCAACTGCAAAGAGATTAGATAGGTAGGAGGAAAATCAGTGGATCTGGGAGAGTGGAAATGTCACCTCTTTGTTTAAGCAGCGCCTTTTCCTCATCGGCGGCGAGTGCGCTGCCGTATCAACGTGGCTGTTCGCAGGGTAATATTGCATGTTCAGAATATTGTCCATGCTGTGCGTCACCATGGTGCCCGTAACGGAAGAAGAACGCGCGACAGGTAACACGTTGTATCTCTGCTCCGTTTCCAGGTGCAATCACTCGCCCGAACAGCTCGGCTAGGCGTCCTCTTGGAAATTGAATTTGAAGCCTGAGACTCGTACGTATATCTCGCAGTGTCGCGCGAATCGCCACCCCTTTTCAAACACTCGTCACTCGACGAATATATCCGGCCTTTTTAATATCCACACTCGAGCGGAAAGAAACTGTCTGTTTCACAATCGATATGTCTCTGACGATGACCGATTGACGACGTAAGAAAAAAAGAAAGAGCTACCGCATACTCGTCGCTAGGAGAGGGAAAGGAACGTAACCGACGAAAATAGTAGAATATACACCGTGGATAACGCGAGACGAATGACGACGAGACGACTGGTTTCGATGCGATGCGGCGGAAACAGCGCGAAGCTCATAACAGGCTATGCGTGCTCCGATATGGCACGGCGACGACTGCGATCCACAGCCGGCGGCGCTTACGTTCCTTTAACGAGGAGGGAGATGCCGCCTCGACGATGACGCCGCGCCGCCGCTATCACGTGTTGCAAACGCGACGCATAACACCCAACACGTGAGAAAACACGTTCCACCGAGGAAGCCCCCAGCCAGCGGAATTCTCTTCCGTGGGCAATTTTCTTCACGGTTGTTGTTCGTGTCCGCGATATACGCCGATTTGAACTTGCCCGATGCAGCGATATGCAGACACTATGGGCGGGGAGGAAAAAAAAAAAAAAAGAAAAAGAAAAATATGTAGGAGCACGACAAGATACTGCCTTGAACCAGATACACGTACCGGTCCGCGGGCAACCGCGCACGTGACACACGCGACAGTTGGAGTAAATTATTTTTCAACGGGTGCCACGGGACCGCGGACCGTGGAGGCTGGCCAAGCGTTTTACCACTTGGCGGCGTTCGCCGGAATCGTATTTTAGGAAAATCTGCAGTTGTGTTGGAACTCGAACGATGGAAACTGGTGTGTCTCGCCTCCCGATAAGTGAAAATTGCATTGCAGATTTATTTCAAGAAGATACGAACGAGATTCACAAAGACGAAATATTTTGACGTAGTTGATAAATAATTCTTATTGACGTAAAAATTAAACAGATGTTAAAAGAAGTTTGTCAAATAATCGAATTATCGTCAAACAAATCGTGAAAATTCAACGGCAGAGATTTTCAAAAAAAAAAAAAAATTCTTATTGACGTAAATTACACGAGATGGACGTTAAAAGGAATTTGCCAAATATCGAAAATTATCGTTAAACAAATCGTGACAATTTAACAACGAAGATTTTCAAAAAAAAGAATAATTCTCATTGACGTAAATTACACGAGATTGACGTTAAAAAAAATTTGCCAAATATCGAAAATTATCGTCAAACAAATCGTGAAAATTCAACGGCACAGATTAAAAAAAAAAAAAAGAATAATTCTTATTGATCTAAATTACACGAGATAGATGTTAAAAGAAATTTGCCAAATATCGAAAATTATCGTCAAACAAATCGCGACAATTCAACAACGAAGATCTTCAGAAAAAGAATAATTCTCACTGACGTAAATTACACGAGATAGACGTTAAAAGAAATTTGCCAAATATCGAAAATTATCGTTAAACAAAGCGTGACAATTCAACGGCGAAGATTTTCGAAAGAAAAAAAAAAATAAATAAATCTCGTTAACATAAATTACACGAGATAGACGTTAAAAGAAATTTGTCAAATATCGAATTATCGTGACAATTGAACGGCGAAGATTTTCGAAAGAAAAAAAAAAAAATAATTCTCGTTAACATAAATTACACGAGATAGACGTTAAAAGAAATTAGTCAAATATCGAGTTATCGTGACAACTGAACGGCGAAGATGAAAATAAAAAAATGACGATCCTGTCGAAATGAGCCGAGTGGCTTGGCAGTTCGTGGTCGCCAAGCATTGTCGAACGAACGTTATTGCGATGATAGAGGCACGGTACAGCGAACTGTAATCAAGAATTGCTCGTTGACCCTCGACTTCGAAGTTTCTGCCGTTTGGACGAGACGCGGCAGCGGGAACGGAGCGATCCGGGAAAGGAGCCGGATCGTGAAAAAATCGCCGGGGAACCGCATTAACGGGGTCGAGTTATCGACATTCCGGATATAACCGGACCGGCGAGAACTTTGCGGCTGACATCGAAGCCTGTGTTATGACCAAAGTTTATCGGCAAACGCTTAACCTCGTGGTGTTTTTTAAACGATAACCGGGTACCACCGGATCTAGCAGCCTCGCAACGGCTGGTAATAACAAACGAAAGCTGTAAGCATCGTACGATGCGTTTACATGTATGTATGTATGTATTTCAGACGTAAGAAAGTACCGCTTCAACAATGTGTCTTATCCGTTGATCGACAATCGCTCGCATTAGCTAGAAAATTTGTTGCGATCCGCTCTGCTGGATCGATCAACTATTCAACGTAACGGAAGCGTTAGGCTTCTTGCGCAGAGTCCGAGTAAAACATGAAAGAAATAACAAGAGGAGGGGACAGAACGAAATTTCTTCGAGAAAATAGAACGTGAAAATTGATTAAACTTGAATTTAGCTAATTATAAATGTGGAAGAAATAATAAACACGTGCAGAAATAAGTCAAAAAAAAAAAAAAAAAGTAGAATAAAGTGTTTGCATTTAAAACTTCGTCGAAAGAAATAGAGCTCTTATAAATAAATTTTATTATGAGTAAATTATATCAATAATTTATCTTATAAATAAATTATAAATTTTATAATTTCTTATAAAAGGAACAGAGTTTAAATAATCAGAGAAGAAAAAAAATTTTATTCGACACAATCTCCTGTTCGTTGTTCTCTCGTGTCACGTCTAAAATTAACTAACTTGATGCATACTAAAATTTTTTTTTCCATTTCCTTCTTTTTTCAATTAAGAAATTATACGTGACACACAAGGCCGGGCACAATCATTTTACCAGTTTCGACCTCTGGTTATATTAAACTACTCGTGTGCACAATCGCGCATAATTGTAAAAGATATTACGAGACAGAAAATTATCCAACTCGCTTAAGCAGACATCGAAAACAAGAAGACAAGAAGCACACGAGTCGTTGATTTTAAGACACTGTTGCGAAACGTGTTTTCCACCGTCGTCGGTACCCGGAAACGTAGAAATTCAACCGCGAGGAATCTACCGCGTGACGTAGAGCGAGTGATAAGAAGAAAAGGAGAAGAAGCTTCAGACGCTGAGCTGTTTAAAACGAACAAACGAAAGATTATAAATTAGAAGACACGAAAGATTTCGTCCAACTCGAACGTGTTCGAATCGAAGATCGGATTCTCTATTCTATCCTATTGATAAAACTGTCATAATAGTTTGTCATGGAAATTTTATTTACACACGGAGCATCTCTTTTCGCGCGTGTCGTACCGCCTATCTAATGTCCTTAACAGGGGGACGGATGATCACGTTGACTGCGAAAAGTGCATTTATGAGAACAAACATGTGACCGAACGCGTTGTGAATGGGCACGTGCTGTTTTTAGCCAACCCTGACGCAACTGGTCACGTATTATTTCTACCACGGCCATAAATCATAATCAGTTTCCACGAGTATACGGGAATTTGCAATGATTAACACTGGAACTGCCGCCGATTGAAACACAAAATTTCCATTCCAGGGACATTAACGTGAAAGAAACGGAACAACTTTATAATACTTTGTGTGATGGAGCACACGGGCGTTTGTTTGTACATTTTACCTAAAAATTATTTAAATCGCTAAATATGCGCTGCTTTGTGTATCCATAAATTTCTAACAAAAATTGCAAATTGTTCATTTTAATTACTTTGGTAGTTCTAACGTTTAAGAATTATTAGA